GTTATTTTTATTTGTTCATTTTATAGTGGGTTATAGTCTACGTTCAGTTTATAGGGGGTTTAGATCTAATTTCATGTTCATGGGGGTTATGTCTACTTTTTCATGTTTGGGGTGGGTTTAGTCTACTTTTCTGTTATAGTGGGTTATAGTTAGTTCATTTATCATGGGTTTTTATAGATCTATTTTCGTTTATAGTGGGTTATAGATCTCGTTATTTTAAGTGGGGTTATAGATCAAAGTTCTGTTTAGTGGGTTTAGGTCTACGTTCAGTTATGTGGGTTATAGTCTACGTTCTTTTTTTAGTGGGTTTTAGATTACGTTCATTTTTCATAGGGGGTTTAGTCTTGTTATGTTATAGTGGGTTTTTGTTTCTTATTCTTTTTTTATGGGGGTTATGTTTTTTCATGTATGGGGGTTTATAGATCTCGTTCTTGTTATGTGGGTTATAGACTACGTTCGTTATAGTGGGTTATAGATCTACGTTTTTGTATAGGGGGTTTATAGACCCTTTTCTTGTTATATTTGGGTTTTAAAGACTACTTTCTTGTTATTTGGGTTATAGATCTACGTTCATGTTATAGTGGGTTATAGATCTACGTTCTTGTTATGTGGGTTATGTCTAGTTCATGTTATAGTGGGTTATAGATTACGTTCGTTATAGGGGTTATGATCACGTTCTTTTTATGGGGTTTTTAGATTACTTTCATGTTTAGGGGGTTATAGATCTACTTCTTGTTATAGTGGGTTAAGATTACGTTCTTGTTTTTGGGGGTTACAGATCTACTTTCTGTTATAGGGGGGTTATAATTCGTTTGTTATAGGGGGTTATAGATGTCGTTCATGTTTTAGTGGGTTTAGATGTACTTTTGTTTTTAGTGGGTTATGATGTACTTCATTTTTATAGGGGGTTATAGTCTCGTTCATGTTAAGGGGGTTTTTGACTACTTTCATGTTAAGGTGGGTTATGATCTACTTTCATGTATAGGGGGTTATAGATCTACGTTTTGTTATAGTGGGTTATAGATCTACTTTCTTTTTATAGGGGGGTTATAGATCTCGTTCATTTTTTATGGGGGTTATAGATGCGTTTTTTATAGGGGTTTTATAGATTCTTCATGTTATAGGGGTTATGATCTACGTTTATGTATATGGGTTATGTTAACGTTTTTTTTATAGGGGGGGTTTAGATCTACGTTCAGTTATAGTGGGTTAGACTACGTTCATGTTATGGGGGGTTTTAAAATTGTTCAGTTATAGGGGTTATAGATTACCAGACTTTTTCCCTATAAATTTTTTCTTTTTTACGCGTCTCAAAATTTTAAATTCGTAATGCTAGACACAGACACATGGAAGTTAATTCCGAGTCTCCTTCTAGCTATCTTCTTCCCTAACATAAAAATTTTACACGAAGGAGAAACCCAATTTTGTGAGGCATCCAAAAACAACTGTACTTAATTACTTTATCCGGGTTTTTTGGGTCTAAAGTGGTTTGCTGTGATCGGTTGTCGAGATTTTGTGAGTCAGAGGTTTCATGATGACTTGAACAGTAATGATGATAGATCAAGTTAGGGGAGAGAAAGACAATTGATAGACCCTAACTCCAACCAAAACCTAACTAAACCTAACCTAACTAACCAAACCCAAATAACCTAACCTAACCCAACCTAATCTAACTCCCTAAAAATCATTGCCTCTTCTTCGCTGTTCCCTTTTGTTATCTATTTCTATCTATCTATCTATTATATATATTATTATATATATATTAATATATATTTTTATAATATTATATTATATTTTATATATTTTATTATATATATATATATTTCGTTATTTTTGCATTTCTGTCGTCTGAGGATTTCCATTTTAGTGTCTTTTGTCTGAGTGTGTCTGGGGTTTTGATTTATATCTGGTGTCAATTGAGTGGAGTATCTGATGGCAGTCTTGCTGTGTAATTAATCCCGTCACGTCTGCCACACTTTTTTTGCTCACGCTTCATTCTTCCCTCGTCCTTCACTCGCCCGCTTCCTTCATGCCGTCGCTTCTTTCATCTCTTCTGGGCCCTAATTCTTACCCCAACTTTATATATATATATATATATATATATATTTATATATATATATATATATATATATATATATATATATTTATATATATATATATATTATATATATTATATATATATATATATATATATATATATATATATATATATATATATATATATATATATATATTATATATATATATATGTAGCACATATCTATATACCCTACATGGTTGTATGACACAGATAGCACACAGAGCATGTACGCTACGTCATAGCACAATAGGGATAACATGCCACCATGTGAACTACATAGTAGCCAGTCAATGCGGACCAAAAATCCGCTTAAACGCGTAACTGCTCCACACCTCGCTTAAAACCAGCCACGCCCGCCGCCAACCTGTAAAATACAACGGCATGCGCTTATAAAAGCTATATATAACGAGAGGCAAGATCCGGTTAACGGCGGGAGCGATCAACGTGGGTTGGTGGTTTAAGCGGAGCCCTGCGAGTCAATTTGAAGTTGGCCATCTTCCTGCGTGAACCTCCCAGGCTCGTTTAGTGAATCCTTCCGACGTGGATTGCAGCTTACGAACGCCCCACTTCATTCGTCTACACGAACGGGGCATTTAAGGCTGTTCTTGTTGCTGCTGCTGCTCCTCCTCCTACTGCTGCTGCTGCTGCTGCTGCTGCTGTTGTTACTGCTGCTTCTGTTTCTGTTCCTGCTTGTGCTGGTGCTGTTGCTGCTGATGTTACAGTTGTTATTGCAGCTGTTGCTACTGCTGCTGCTACTACTGCTGCTGTTGCAGCTGATGCTACTACAGTTGCTGTTGCATCTGCTGTTCCTGTTGTTGCTACTGCTGTTGCTGGTACCGTTACTGCTGCTACTGCTTTTATTTGCACAATACTGCCCAGCGGAGGTAGACTCTATTGCCAGCTGAAGTTAATGGTTTCTGACTCAATTTTAAGTGAGAGGTCTCGGAGAGATGACGTGCCAGCCTCGTTACTCACTAATAAATGATCTGCCAACACTAAATTATGCTCATACTGTTGGACCAATCAACTCCTCCCTCTCATACAAGGCTTCATACGTCACAGTTACAATCAACCAGTCATCGTACACACCTCTTGTTTCATGACCATTGTCAAGCCACAACTAAGTGAAGAACAGTGAAGCCCACAAGGCACCTGGGGAGGAGGAAAACAAAGAATAGTAGTAATAGTAGTAGTAGTAGTAGTAGTAGTAGTAGTAGTAGTAGTAGTAGTAGTAGTAGTAGCAATAGTAGTAGTAATAGTAGCAGTGTTCTCTCTTGTGAGTGTCAGTACAATACTGTCATAATTGTGAGGTGTCAAAAGTGATTGTTAGTCTCTGGTCTCAGGCTTAAGATTGTTGAATTTTTGTTCTTGATTGTGGGGAAGTTAGCATTTTTAACTGTGGTTACTTGTGCGCAATTAACTACTACCACAATTATTACCCACACTACTACTATCCTTACTACACAGTCACAGCAACGCCAACCAACACACTCACCCCACTCTCTTTCTCCCCCAGGCATCCATGAGTGGGTTACGGATCCAAATGGCCCCTTCCATCCATCACCAGGCTGCAGCAATGTTGAGTATTCTGGTGAGGTACCAATGGCACGCCTTCACCATTGTCACCTCACACATTGCTGGTCATACTGACTTTGTGCAGACAGTCAGAGATCAGGTGCACCAGTATGGCGACAAACAGGACCTCTCCAAGCCTACTATCAAGTGAGTTAGCTCTCTTTAAAGTCAGCACTGTGTTGCTGCATTGTTCTGTGTGATAGTTACATTCAGGGAACACCAGTAGTGTTGCTACACTGTTCTATATGATAGATACATTGTGGGAACACCAGCACTGTTGCTACACTGTTCTATATGATAGATACATTGTGGGAACACCAGCACTGTTGCTACACTGTTCTATATGATAGATACATTGTGGGAACACCAGCACTGTTGCTACACTGTTCTATATGATAGATACATTGTGGGAACACCAGCACTGTTGCTACACTGTTCTATATGATAGATACATTGTGGGAACACCAGCACTGTTGCTACACTGTTCTATATGATAATTACATTGTGGGAACACCAGCACTGTTGCTACACTGTTCTATATGATAGATACATTGTGGGAACACCAGCACTGTTGCTACACTGTTCTATATGATAATTACATTGTGGGAACACAAGCAGTGTTGCTACACTGTTCTATATGATAGATACATTGTGGGAACACCAGCACTGTTGCTACACTGTTCTATATGATAGATACATTGTGGGAACGCCAACAGTGTTGCTACATTGTTCTGTGTGATAGTTACATTGTGGGAACACCAGCACTGTTCCTACACTATTCTGTATGATAGTTACATTGTGGGAACACCAGGAGTGTTGCTACACTATTCTATATGATAGTTACATTGTGGGAACACCAGCAGTGTTGATACACTATTCTATATGATAGATTGTGGGAACACCAGCAGTGTGGCTACACTGTTCTATATAATAGTTACATTGTGGGAACACCAGCACTGTTCCTACACTATTCTGTATGATAGTTACATTGTGGGAACACCAGCAGTGTTGCTTAAACTGTTCTATATAATAGTTACATTGTGGGAACACCAGCACTGTTCCTACACTATTCTATATGATAGTTACATTGTGGGAACACCAGCAGTGTTGCTACACTATTCTATATGATAGCTAGATTGTGGGAACACCAGCAGTGTATTGCTACACTGTTATATATGATAGTTACATTGTGGGAACACCAGCAGTGTTGCTACACTATTCTATATGGTAGTTACATTGTGGGAACACCTGCACTGTTCCTACACTATTCTATATGATAGTTACATTTTGGGAACACCAGCAGTGTTGCTACACTATTCTATATGGTAGTTACATTGTGGGAACACCAGCAGTGTTGCTACACTGTTATATGATAGTTACATTGTGGGAACACCAGCAGTGTTGCTACACTATTCTATATGGTAGTTAGATTGTGGGAACACCAGCCGTGTTGCTACACTATTCTATATGATAGTTAGATTGTGGGAACACCAGCAGTGTTGCTACACTATTCTATATGATAGTTACATTGTGGGAACACCAGCAGTGTTGCTACACTACTCTATATGGTAGTTACATTGTGGGAACACCAGCCGTGTTGCTACACTATTCTATATGATAGTTAGATTGTGGGAACACCAGCAGTGTTGCTACACTATTCTATATGATAGTTACATAGTGGGGACACCTGTAGTGTCGCTAAACTATTCTATACGATAGTTAGATTGTGGGAACATCAGCAGTGTTGCTACACTATTCTATATGATAGTTAGACTGTGGGAACACAGTTCCTCAGTATAAATAGCACACAATTCAACATGAAGGATGGCAAAAATTTCTGGGGTAGAAATGGATGGATGAGGGAGAAAGGGGGGAGGAGGAGGGGTGGAGGGAGAGATGGATTGGAGGGTGAGAGGATGGATGAGAGAGGGATGATGGAGAGAGGGATGGATGGAGAGAGGGATTGGAGGGAGAGAGGGATGGATGGAGAAGTGGATGGACGTGTAGGGAGGGATGGATGGAGAGAGGTGATGGAGGGAGAGAGGGATGGATGGAGAGAGGGATGGAAGGAGAGAGGGATGGAGGGGAGATGGAGGGAGAGGGTGAAGGAGAGAGAGAGAGGAGGAGAGGAGGGAGGAAGGGAGAGAGAGAGGAAGGGGAGAGAGAGAGGAGGGAGAGAGGGGGAGGTGGAGGAGAGAGTGAAGGAGGAGGAGAGGGATGGAGGGAGATAGAGGAGTGGGGGAGAAGGGAGAGAGGGAGGAAGGGAGAGAGGGCGGAAGGGAGAGAGAAGAGGAAGGGAGAGAGGAGGAAGGGAGAGAGGGAGAAAGTGATGGAGGAGAGAGGGCTGGAAGGAGAGAGGATGGACGGGAGAGAAAGGGTGGAGGGAGACAGAGATGGAGGGAGAGAGGGGTGGAGAGGAAGGGATTCAGGAGAGGGAAGGAGAGAGATAAGGATGGAGGGAGAGAGAGGAAGGGAGAGAGGGAGGAAGGGATGAGAGGGAGGAAGGGAGAGAGGGAGGAAGGGAGAGAGGAAGGGAGAGAGGGAGGAAGGAAAGAGAGGGAGGAAGGGAGAGAGAGAGGAAGGGAGGAGAGGGAGGAGGGGAGAGAGAGAGGAAGGGAGAGAGGAGAGGAAGGGAGGAGAGAGAGGAAGGGAGAGAGGGAGGAAGGGAGAGAGGGAGGAAGGGAGGAGAGGGAGGAAGGGAGGAGAGGGAGGAAGGGAGAGAGGGAGGAAGGGAGAGAGGGAGGGAGAGAGGGAGGAAGGGAGAGAGGGAGGAAGGGAGAGAAGGAGGAAGGGAGAGAGAGAGGAAGGGAGGAGGGAGGAAGGGAGAGATGGAGGAAGGGAGAGAGGGAGGGAGGAGAGGGAGGAAGGGAGAGAGGGAGGAAGGGAGAGGGGGAAGGGTGAGGAGGAAGGGAGGAGAGGAAAGGAGAGAGGAGGAAGGAGGAGAGAGGAAGGGAGAGGAGAGAGGGAGAGAGGGAGGAGGGATGAGAGAGGAAGGGAGAGGAGAGGAAGGGAGAGAGGGAGGAAGGGAGAGAGGGAGGAAGGGAGGAGGGAGGAGGGAGAGGAGAGGGAGGAAGGGAGAGAGGGAGGAAGGGAGGAGGAGAGAGGAGAGGAGGGAGAGAGGAGGAAGGGAGAGAGAGAGGAAGGAGAGAGGGGGGAAGGGAGAGAGGGAAGGGAGAGAGGAGGAGGAAGGGAGAAGGGAGAGAGGGAGAGGGAAGAGAGAGGGAGGAAGGGAGAGAGGGAGGAAGGGGGAGGAGAGAGGAAAAGGAGGAGAGGAAAAGGGGAGAGAGAGGAAAGGAGAAGGGAGGAAGGGGAGAGAGAGGAAAGGGGGAGAGAGAGGAAGGGAGGGGGAGGGGGGGGGAAAGGGGGGGAGGAGGGGGGAGGAAGGGGAGGGGAGAGGGAAAAGGGGGAAGGGAGAGAGGGAGGGGAGAGGGGAGGAAGGGAGAGAAGGGAGGAAGGGAGAGAGGAGAGGAAGGGAAGGGGAGGGGGGAAGGGAAGGGAGGAGAGGAGAGAGGGAAGGGAGAGAGGGGGGAAGGGGAGAGAGGAGGAGGGAAAGGAGGGGGAGAGAGGGGAAAAGGAGAGAGGGAGGAAGGGAGAGAGAAAAGGAAGGGGGGGAGAGAAGAGGAAGGAGGAGAATGGAGGAAGGGGAGAGAGGGAGGAAGGAGGAGAGAGGGAGGGAAGGGAGAGAGAGAGGAAAGGAGAGAGAGAGGAAGGGAGAGAGAGAGGAAAGGAGAGAGGGAGGAAGGGAGAGAGGGAGGAAGGGAGAGAGGAGGGAAGGGAGAGAGGGGAAGGAGGAGAGAGAGGGAGGAAGGGAGAGAGGAGGGAGGAGGAGAGAGGGAGGAAGGGAGAGAGGGAGGAAGGGAAGAGAGGGAGGGAGGAGGGAGGAGGGAGAGTGGAGGAAGGGAGAGAGAGAGGAAGGGAGAGAGGGAGGAAGGGAGAGATGGAGGAGGGAGAGAGGGAGGGGAGGGAGTGGGAGGAAGGGAGAGAGGGAGGAAGGGAGAGAGGGAGGAGGGAGAGAGGAGGAAAGGGTAGAGAGGAGGAAGGGGAGAGAGGGAAGAGTGGGTAGGAAGGGATGAGGGAGGAAAGGAGAGAGGGAGGAAGGGAGAGAGAGAGAAGGGAAGAGGAGAGTGGGGAGAAGGGGAGAGGGAGGAAGGGAGGGAGAGGGGAAGGTGAGAGAGGAGGAAGGGAGAGAGAGGAAAGGAGAGAGAGAGGAGGTGAGAGAGAGGGAAAGGAGAGTGGGAGGAAGGGTGGGTGAGGTAAGGAGATGATGAGGAAGGGAGAGAGGGAGGAGGGGGAGAGAGGGATGGAGGAGTAGGGAGGAAGGGAGGAGGGCGGTAAAGGAGATGAGGGTGGAAGGGGAGAGGGAGGAAGGGAGAGAGGGAGGAAGGGAGAGAGGGAGGAAGGGAGAGAGAGAGGAAGGGAGATTGTTGATTCAATTAATTTCAGTTAGGTATTAAATGATAATTTTGACAGCATTATGAAACAGTTAACTCCCTGTCATCCACCACTGTCATCCACCATGTCATCCCCCTGTCATCCACCACTGTCATCCACCCCTGTCATCCACCCCTGTCATCCACCACTGTCATCCACCCCTGTCATCCACCCCTGTCATCCACTCCTGTCATCCACCCCTGTCATCCACCACTGTCATCCACCCCTGTCATCCACCCCTGTCATCCACCCCTGTCATCCACCACTGTCGTCCACCCCTGTCATCCACCACTGTCATCCATCCCTGTCATCCACCCCTGTCATCCACCACTGTCATCCATCCCTGTCATCACCCCAGTCATCCACCATGTCATCCACCACTGTCGTCCACCCTGTCATCCACCCCTGTCATCCATCCTGTTCATCCACCCTGTCATCACCACTGTCATCCATCCCCCGTCATCCACCCCTGTCATCCACCACTGTCATCCACCCCTGTAATCCACCACTGTCATCCACCCCTGTCATCCACCCTGTCATCTCCCCTGTCATCCACCCCTGTCATCCACCCCTGTCATCCACCCCCGTCATCCACCACTGTCATCCACCCTGTCATCCACACCCTGTCATCCACCCCTGTCATCCACCACTGTCATCCACCCCTGTCATCCACCCCTGTCATCCACCCTGTCATCCACCACCCGTCATCCACCCCT